AGGAATAACGCACAATGAACATATTAATCGACGGTAACGAGAATAAAGTTCGTTACACGCGACATTTTCGCTCGCGTTTCGGCCGCGCGCGTCGCGCGTTATTTCCGCGGAAAATAACACGCGTCGCACGCACGGATTTTACACAGTTTTACGCAATTACAAGAATAACCGTCCCGCGCGCGCGCGCGTCAACGAAAATACGCGGCACGTTGCACGCTGCAGTTTAACGATATTTTAATTAATGTTTGTTGTAATTAAATTAATAATTAAATCGGTACACGAGCGAGCCGCCGAACACGCGCGCGCGCGCGGATGCGAAAATCTACAGACATTAAAACGTACACACATCGGACAGACAACATTCCGCTGGTAGTTAATTACGCGTGGCAATGATGCGTATTCCGGTTTCATTAAACGCGCTATCGCATTTAATCCGCGCGTTTTCCTTCCCCCTCCCGTCTCTGATCCCCAGCCCTCCCAGTCGCCTCTGCGACACCGACCGGAGCAGCGGCAATTTCTATCTCGTCCCGCGGCACACTTTTACATCATGCTAATGCGCATTACGCAAATGTTACACACAAGCAAGGAGAAAGTAGTCGGGAGGAAGAGAAAGAAATAGAAGGGGGGAGAGGGACAGAGCGAATGAAAATTTGCAACGCGACGACGCGATTACGGCCCGACGAGGCGGGCCGTCGTGGTTTCTCTTCCCTTCTTCTTCCTCATCTTCTTCTTCTGCTTCTGTCTTCTTCCCACAGCTTCTACTTTTACTTGCACGGCGGCGAACCGGCCGCACGCTGACGCACTGACGCGCTGACAACTTGGCAGGAGATTTTTCCGCCGGACGAGCGGCCGCGCCGCTCGCGAAATGCAAAATGCATCGCGATCCACGCAAACTTCGCGTTCCTTCCTCCAACCGCTGTGCAAGAAATTTCCCGCGCAGCCACGGCGCATTCGCTCGTCGCGAACCGCGCATTCTTGCCGCGAGATTATACAGGGTGTTCAAAAAAAGAGTTCCGCAGATAATACTCGCTAAATAGGGGAAAGAAATTCTAACAAACATGGTTCGAAAAATTAATACTGCTGAAGTTATGAACGATTGTTTATTTTAATCAAAGCAAGTGACTTAGTCGCTTCTGGTACTTTTGTATTCTCTGGTGGTAATTTGTCTATATATCATTTACCGATGAAAAGAGTATCGTGCTTTAAGGAGATCCCTAAAAAAAGGTTTTTCAAAAAATCCCTTAAAAGATTTCCAGAAAAATCCCTAAAAAGAATATGGAAAGAATGACATCGTATTACTCTAATCAAGAAATGGCAGAAGAAATACATTTTATATATGGCCGCGCACCAAAAGCGCGTAAGTCACTTGCTTTAATTGAATTAAATAATTGTTCATATCTTCGACAATGTTCATTTTTCGATCTATGTTTATTAAAACTTTCCCCCCTCCCCCATTTTGTAAATTTTCCCTTAAAATACCGAATTTTTTTTAAACACCTTGTTTCTCTCTCTTTCTCTCTCTCAGTATTTTTTTATATTAAATTTCTTAGATACTTTTCGTTGTGTGTATCGCCGGCGGGAGACAAAGTCCTCGCGGAGCTCTCCTCTCTCGCAGCTTACTCTCACGAAGCTAATGCGAACTCGTCGTCGAGAGACTGCACGGCTCTCCGCGATGAAACGCGCAATATGCACAATGACACTGTCATAATAGCCCTGATATTCTGCGTCACTGGATTATTAAAGTTAATTTTTAATTGCGTAATATTTATTATAATTAATATTTATTATAATAATAAATATTAATTATATTTGTTATTGCATCTCATTATTGTATTAAATATTCCACTATATTAAATATTATATTAAATATTACTTATATTTATCAATATGTAATATTTATTTTTCAACTACTTTTTATATATTTCTTAATTGTGCACAATATTTATTTTTAACTGTACCAGTCATTGATTTTATTAATATGTGATAGTTAATAATAAGCATCTTATTAATGGTAATTATTTATTGTGTTTTTAATTATAATAACAATTGCAATTAATTTCCATTATTTAATTATACGCAATATTTATTTATTATTTGTTGATTAAGCAACGTGGAAGGAACGATCCTACCAAAGTCATGTATTTGACACAGTAAATCTTTTTTGTCAATATTTGGAGAGGAATTCGTATGATTAGAGAATAGTAATGACATTGTGTTGCATATTAACCCTCTTGCGATTCTATTTACTGACAGAAATTAGTAGCAAAGTGGTTAAATTTTTTCTGCGGAGGAAAATATTTACTTTCATATTTTATAATAGTTTTCGAACGTGCTGATTTCAAAATGTCGGATCAAAAATGGCGGACCTGAAAATATTAATAAATCTTACCCCGAGTCAGAGACTCGGGTCTAACCGTAAGCCGGTTAAAGCTACTATGCCAGGCTGTGCAGCCTCGTCCGCGAAAAGTCCTCCCCCCCCCCAATATTCACGCCGTGTACTATCACTTCCTCCTCTGTGCCAACCAATTACGTGCGCCATGTGTATAAAAGGTGAGGCACCTGATAACTTTAAAAATATGCAACATAGAAAAAAATATTACGTAGAAGTTGTAGGGTTTTAGATAGCGCATCACAACGCAATACTTGTATGACCTTGAACAACGTCATCAAGGTTATAGGAAGGTCATTTTGAATTTTTTAAATGGAAATCTCTATTTTTTATTATATAATCTTTCTCTACCAATTAATTTGAACAACTTTTCTGAAACATTTTTCTATTTACTTAATATTTTTTCAGATATTTCAAGAAAACTTGGTAACTTTTTCATTATTTGACTTACGATATCTCGGTATCTGTCGGAAGAAAAAGTAGTACTAGACTTTCTTACTCTATTTGGTCTCAAGAATATCCTGTTACAATAATGCCCTAACTTTTGTTATATATATAACTTGATGAGTTTTGGAAATTTCATCATGTTAACAAAAGTTAAGGCAATATTGTAACAGAATATTCTTGAAACCGAAGAGAGTAGAATAAAAGAGTTTAGTACTATTTTTTCTTCCGACAAATAATTATCGAGATATTGTAAGCTAAATATTAAAAAAGTTATCAAATTTTCCTTAGACATCTCAAAAAATATTGAGTAAATAAAAAACTATTTCAAACAAAAATAATTAAAATTAATTAGTAGAAAAAAGTGATATAATAAAAAAGAAGGGGGTTCCCATTTAAAAAAATTCAAAGTGATTTTCCCGTAACCTTGATGACACTGTTCAAGATCATATTAGTATTGATATCTACAACTCCTGTATTCGACATTTTTTTCTATCTTGCATATTTTCAAAATAATTCTGACAACTTGTTTTAGATCACTCACTCTGTATGTGAGTCTCAGTCAGATAATTTGGTGCGCTGCTTATTTCATCGTCTATCTAGATCGTTTTCCAATCAAGTGTGAACTCGGCGACAAAACGGTTTAGACCCAATAAAGTAAGGTGCTCACCAAACTATCATGATTGACAGCTATTATCGCACAGTATTAGTTATGATAGAGGCCGAAGTGATGACTTACGAGGCACCACAACATACCACAACGAAACCCAGCTGGAACCTAAATAATTTTATCATGCGCTCCAATCTGTCAGATGAATGTATATGATAAAAAGCCGAAAAGCAGTTTTTGCGTCGTGTACCTTCGCTTCAGGGCTCCTGTCACGACCAATTGCTGCATGAGTCTATCAGTAGAGCGGCTCTCGATCGTGACAGCTTGGTGCGCTTTTGATTTCATCGCGATCGTCCCGCCAATACTCTCGATTTCCTTCTCGCGTGACGGCGGTGTTACGGAGACATGTAATAATTTTTTTTTTTGAGGTATGTCATAGTGGGCATATTAGAAATCAATCTAGTCATACATGGCCGTTTTATGATTTACATTTGAAAGTATATGAGATTTGGCAGTGCACGTCAACTCAACGATGATCATGCAATAGTCATGACAAATGTGTGTGGCCTATTTGCAAAACACTGTTATTTTACTGGAACAGGTCATTAGGCTTAATCCTTTTGAGTCTCTTCAGCTGTTCCCTAGTATTTAATATTCTTGCAGCTTCACTGTTTAAGTGACTTTAGCGTAGTTAGCGTAGTTTATGGTTCCTAACAACCTTAGTTATCTCTTCTTCCACAGTAGAGATCTTTAAATCTTTCCTAATATCGAAGTTCCTAATACCGAAGTGGTGTACCAATGAGCATTAACAATGTCTCGTAGAACTTTGTCTTGAATAATTTGGACTTTATTAATATTCGACGCTTTGCTACAGCCCAGAGCTACATGCCATATGTCTATACAGGTTTTATAATTTGTTTGTATAACATTAAGTTTGTTATGGATGGGCAGTTTAGATTGCCGTCCAATCATCCAGAATAACTTTCTTTAGATAGTTTTAAATTGTTTTGCCTCGATCAGGATGTGTTCCTTCCAACGAAGCTTAGCATCAAGAGCCATGCCAACATAGTTCGCCGTATTAGCGTACGGAATGCGCTATTGGTTGATGGTAATTGGGAATGGAGCTTCTCGTCTATTAATAAAGTTAATGCGCTGTGATTTGCACTCATTTAGCTTGATACGCCATCGCTTAGCCCAATCTATGACGTTGTTGACGGCGTGTTGTAATTTACTAGTGACGAAACGTGTGTTTACTCCTGTTGCTAATATGGCTGTGTCATCAGCGAAGGTAGCTATCTTTGTCCCTTTATACTTTGGGATGTCCGCAGTGTAAAGTAGATACAGGGTTGGTCCCAGTACACTACCTTGCGGGACTGCTGCTGTAACTTTCCTGTGATTGGAATATACATCTTCATGACGAATACAAAAATATCAGTCCGAAACATAGGATCTTAGCAGTAAACTATAAGCTTTTGGTAGACACTTTCGAAGCTTGGACTCAAGTCCTTTGTGCCGAATTTACATGTAATAATGACGTCGTGTCTCGTTTGATTACAGCGACAGCGGCGTGGCCCCGTCGGGAGGAGCCCTGTCCGATCCCAGGAGATTTTTGCATGAACGGTGGTACCTGCCTATTTTTCGAGACCGTCGGTGAACCGGCATGCAGGTGAGCGCACGAGCATACGAATATTTCATCCGCGCGGTAACACGAGAACACCTGAATTATATAGACAATCGTCGCTCTCATCGCTAAGTTCTTACGTGGAAAATATGAAAGGTGAATGAGACTTCTTGAGAACGCTCCCCCGCGTTTTTGAGCGCTTCTCGCAAGATCAGGCTGTCGACAGCCGCTGTTGCGGTTAACCTGTGGTTGGCAGTGATAAGTGCATTCACCACGTTTTTCTCTTTCTTTTTACGATATGTACTGTTTACAGTTTAATGAAGATAAGTATGATCTCACATTTTTCGGATATATTAATGCTCACTTTACATGTTTCCCGTGGTTTTTGTATCCGATTGTTCATTTTTAATTACTTATAAGCAAGGAAAGTTGAGAAAAGCAATTTAAAAAAATTTAATTTCTTGGAAAGTGTTTGAGACTGAAAATTTCACTGAACATTCTTTACATATCGAAACATAATATATATTTTTTCCAGAATTTTTCGCACACTCGATTTTTTATAAACAAATTACTTGGATGAATTTTGTAAATCTGATATGAAATTCTTGATTAGTAATCTGAAAAATCTTTATATCGTGTACCTGATTTACATTTATTCACATTTCTCGTATACATTAATGTTTACTTTATGTGTTTCCCGTGGTTCTTCTGTATCCGGTTGTTCATTTTCAATTATTTACAAACAAAAAAAGTTGAGGAAAGCAATTTAAAAAAATTTAATTTCGTGAAAAGTGTTTGGGATTAGAGACTAAAACTTTTATTGAACATTCTCCGCATTTCGAACGTATATATTTTTTCCAGAATTTTTCGCACGCTAAATTCTTTTATAAAAATTACTTGGATAAATTTTGTAAATCTGACGTAAAATTCCTAATTAACGATCCGAAAAATTTTTTATCAGATACCATGTATCTGATTTATACAGACTTTATTAATTTATCTCTATAGCAGCCATATTGAATCTGCTATTTTGAATTTTTGGAATCTGATTTCAGATTTGCAATCGGCGATCCAAAAGAGAAAAACATAGGAAGGTTTCACATAAATTCGTCAGGTCAAAGAAATATACCACACAAAGGGTTAACAGATAACGCGGTATCAACAGAAATTTCTATCAAAGCTCTTGCGATATCCAAGCAATAAGAAAATAGCCGTTGAAAGCCAAAGATAGATTCACAGTTAAGATTAGTTAATTATTGCGGAAATATCGTAATGTCGACAAATTATCGCACGAGTAGAGACATTTCCCTCAGGCTCGCGAAGGTGCCAAGCGGGTGACGAATGCAAACGTCATGTCCGATAAACACTAACATAGTCACGATACGTTTATCGTATTTCTTGTACATATAAGTCTCGCGTAAACATGTTTTGCTCCATTGCGAGCGCACTTAATGGAAAACCTAACCTAACTTAATCACGACAGAGAAATCTTTCTGCAAACTTTCCGTACATTTTGCAGCTTCTAAATTCAATCGTAAGGGAGCAGCAATGTTCTTTGAAATTCTCCTCAGTGGTGGAAATACAGTTCAGTTACAAGCTATAGAACTTTTGTATCAAGCTGATCTTGACGTTAAGTGAAACAGCTCGAGACGCTTGAAACTTTGTCGTTTTCGTCACATATCGGGCAATGCTCCGATTCATTTTATGCGCGTTCTTTTATTGTGTAAATGCGTTTATAACTCTGCGCAAGCAATGTGACGTAAGTTTGACGGAAAAAAGTCAATATTCGACCGGTAAAGAATGCCATTTCCTTAAAATGTGCGCTTGATAATAATAATAATAATTCGCCTGCTTCCAACGCCGAACCGACTTTACGTCCCAATTATACAGGCTGTTACAGTAGTTAAAAATAAGGTTCAGGACTTTGAGGTCAGATAGTACTCACAAAATGGAGGAAAAAAGTCCTAACATTAATTAATTAATATCGTAGAAGTTATGAATAATTATTTATTTTAATTAAAGCAAGTGACCTACTCGCTTGTGGTGCTTATAAAGTTTCTAGAAGATTCTCTACATGTCCTCCTTCTATTTTATGATCCCCTACATTAAGACCGAAAAAATGTCTCGTAGTGATTAATCGTAACCGTTGGATTTTATCGGCTATTTTCTCACCGACTCAACAACGGCATGCTTTATTCCATTTTAACAACTTTATTTGCACTTGCCCGCACGGGGACTCGGCGTGGCGCGGCCCTTCGAAAGTCACGTGTAACCCTCAAACTTAAAGCGATAAGGAATCGTTCGGTCTTCCCTCTCCGCTCTTTCTCATTCGACGAACACTCGAACGCTCGACTTTATCGAGGGATCGGAGAAACTGCGGGTTCTCGTAATTATCGACAAGTTGAGAAGCTGCGGTGCCAACTTGGACAGCGTATATACGGTTGCCAGAGGAGAGATAGCTGTATAGACCGTTCCAGGTTGAACCGGATAAATCACGATAAAAGTGCCCTCGACCAGGAAGTTGACCGACCGTTTACTCGGGGAAATTATCGAGACGGCGATCTAAACAACGAAGCACGTGGATTCTCCACGTGCTTCGAGTATCACTGAGGCGAACAACAAGCAGCACAGTTTCAGGCAGAGAGACTCCGCTCCGACGGAATATCATCACACCTTCGACATTCGATTCAGAGAGACACGCGCGCGTGTTAATCCACTATGAATCGGCAAATGACCGAAGTGGAAGTCGAAACGCCCGATGTCGTTGTCGAGGGAGGAGCAACTCCGACTGATGGCCCGGAATCTGCAGTTAAAATTCGATCCGCTCATTGTGCAACACTCTGTAGAGAAGCAGAAAGAGAGAGAGAGAGAGAGAGAGAGAGTGTGTGTGTGTGTGTGTGTGTATATGTGTGTGCAAACGAAACGAGAAAACGTTTTACTCACGTCTTCCGGCCGCAAGCGCACGAGAAAGCGAACCCGCGTTTCTTGTTACTCCCTCCTTTGTGCGACCACCGACGGCCGAGCAGCTACCGACCGCGAGGGTTGAACAAGCTTTCACGAAATGTTTGCTGTCGATTGCTCCGGGAGGTCGAGCTTCGACAGCCAACGCGAAGCGCGGGGAGTCCGCCGTGTGTGTGTCACCGTCTATCTCTCTCTCTCTCTCTCCTCGGTACGCACCGCGAGAAAAGTGGAAAGAGAGAGAAAGAGAGAGAGAGAGAGAGATTTTCGTTTCACGCGGACACTTCTTCCCTATTTCCTCCTAGACGCTTCTTATCCCCCCTCTGCGGCCCCCGCGCCGCACGATACCGCTCTCAAGAATAGATACTCTCTATAGATTCTCCGTTCTCCGTCGGCCTTGCCCTTATTCTTCCCTCGAGTACCTCCCCCGGCTGCCGCCTTGACTCCCTCTTCTTTCTCTCTCTCTCTCTCTCTTTCTCTCGCGTTCCCTCTTCCTTCCTCCTTTTCGTCGCATTCGCCTCTCGGCGTCGATAGAATTCTCGGCGCGTCCGTATTTTCCTAAATTCTGCCGTGATTCCATGCGCGCGATCCGCCCGCACTGTTCCGTCTCTATTTATCTTCCCTTTAATCCACGCTCTCATGGCTCCTGGGAGTGTCTTTCATTTTTAACGTCGCCACGAGCGCTTTCGCATCTTCTCGTGCTGCGCTGCCCGTCCCGGGCATTCTCGTTGTTAAGGAGCAGCCTATATAACCGATACTCCTCGGCCTTCTTTTATTTGCGCGTCCGGGGGATAGCTAATATCCTGGCGTAGTTATACCCCCCCTCTACCTTTCTCCCTCTCTCATTCTCTCTCTCTCACTCTCTCTCTCTCTCTCTCTCTCTCTCTCTCTCTCTCTCTCTCTCTCTCTCTTTCTTTCTCTCAGTTTCTCTCTCGAGCGAGCGAGCGTCGATATTTTCTATAAACGCAATCTTGCGTTGAGGGAGCGCTCGGCCGGCACTCGAGAGAGAGATGGAGAGAGCGAAGTACCAATTTTACTCGTTTAAGATCGGACTATCGACTTGCGCGACTATCCCGCCGCGACTCAGAGATATTACGGGCCGGGCCGGCGCGAATTTTTTTCCGAAACGACTCCTGGACCTTACTTCCGCACGCGTCGTCCCCCCCCCCTTTTTCCCTCCTTCCGTCGCTCGCGCGGACGGTACTCCCGAAAATTAAATTTCTTGACGATCTTCCCCCTTCCCCCCTCTGCCACTGCCGCCCCGTGTGTATCAAATTGATCGGCACCGCCGCCGAGCGCAGCGTGGTCCGTTTAATTAAAAAAGTTCACTCGCGAAATATTCCCGGCCGACCGGCCGGACGGACTTTCCCCTCGCCCCTCGCCCTCACCCCGCCGGGCGTTCCCGGACCAGTCACAATGCTCGCGGCCCTTTCTCGTTTACGCGAAACGCGAGCATGACGCGAGAGCGCGGCGAGTTGTCGGAAATTTCAAACGTGCGGTCGCCGGCGTTCGGCAGGCTCGGGTTTTACGACATTCTACCGAACGGCGGAAAAGCGGCTCGCGACTAATTCGGTGCGAGCGAGACGCTTACATGACGCTTTCCTTTTTTCCCATAAGCCCGCGCGAACTCCGCCGGCTGAAAGTCGGGCCGCGTAGCGCAAAAAGCCCCGTGGAAAATAGGCCGTGAGAGACAAAGCAGAAGAGCCGGCCTGGACGGGATTTACAGGCCGTGAAAAACGACTGACGCGGGGCCGGGGGAGGGGAGGGGGGGGGAGACGCAAATTCGCGCTAAGAAGCGCGCATACACGGTGGGAATTTAATGGCGGGGTAATAAAACGTATCCAGTAACGGGGTGAGCGCTGTCGCGCCTCTCGCCACGTTACACTCGATACGTCGAATAATATTCCGCTAATTAGAGGCCCGATTAAAATTCCGCTGAAAAGCGAAGTCTGCTCGAAAATTACACGGAGAATGAGCACACTTCGTCAGGCGGCCGGAACTCTGCCTTCCAACTTGGCACTCTCGACGGCCGTGCTGTTCCTTTCTCTCATTCCCTCGACTCTTTTTCTCTTATTATATCCCCTCCT